GGGGGGGGGAAGGTAAAGCGACAGCCAGCGTTGTGTAATGGTTTAGGACTCTGGAGACCTGGGTTCGAAACCCAGCTCGGCCTTGGGCAAGTCACACTCTCTCAGCCTTAGGGGAAGGCCATGGCAAAACTCTTCTGAACAATTCTTGCCAAGAAACCCCCATGATAGGGTCGGAAATAAGCCACACAACAACAACAACGACACTTCAAGAGGGAGGAGTTACTCTGTGTAGTGTCAGGCAAGGAAGGAAAGTAACTTAAACGTTACCTACGTTACTCTCAACGCAGTAAATTTCCATTAAACTTGCCCCCAAAGTCTTACTTTCTTATGGAACATACAGTTTTACAAAAGGGGGCCAGGGAATATTCAGTCTAATTTCTAAATAAATACATGTTGTGTCATATAAGGCAACACCACTGCTTTTCTATTGTGTTTTCTAAACAGCTTTTTATCCAGCTTCCCTCAGGAGCATGCCATTGATGCCATGTTGTTGTTGTTGTTGTTGTGTATTTTCAACTCCATTCTCTTGAAGTGTTGTTGCTGTTGTTTTTGTGTGCCTCCAAGTCATTTCCGACTTGAAAACCTATCGTGGGGTTAAGTCATTTAAGTAATTTCATAGGGTTTTCTTGTCAGGTTTCTTCAGAGGCCGTTTGCCAGCATGGCTACCCTCTGAGGCTGAGAGAGTGTGACTTGCCCAAAGTCACCCAAGTGAGGTTTCCCATGGCCGAGCTGGGATTCGAACCCTGGCCTCCAGAGTCACAATCCAGGGCTCAAACCACTGCTCGACTTACTCCTCAGCTGAAAAAGAGGAGAGAAGGAAAAGAACAAGAAGTCCCTCCCATCCGGGATTCCGGAGTTCCACATTTTGAGGCCGACCGTCGGCGACGCGTCCGCTGCCAGGAGCAGCAGCAATCTCAGGCCCCCGTGAGGTCAGCGGTTCGTCCAATCAGGTGCCGGCACTGAGGGAAAAGGGCGGGGCAGTGGGTGGGGCGTTTCGGGCAAGCGCAGTGTGGGGCCCTTCCTCGAAGGAGGAGGAGGGAGGGTGAGGAGAGTTCGAGAGGGCGAGCCAGTGTCGTCTTCCCTCTCCTGAGGCGAAGAAGGAACGACGCGGCGGTTGAGGGGAATATATTTTTAAAAATAAATAACTTATCCTTGCTTATTTCTGAGTGGGATTAATTTGTGGATGTGACTGGGTCGTTTCAGCACCAAACACGACGACGCACAACACTTTTAGTTAACAATAAAATTGTAAAAAACACCTCACACACACACACAGGAGCAACTGCCACCTCAGGCCGCCACCGTCACAGCGAAGGGTGGGGTGGGGGAGAGGGCCGGTTAACCACGAGTGGCGACGCCTTCCCTGGTTGTGACTGTGAGGGGAGACTCTCGCCCTCCGCCGCCGCCGCCTTCGTGGCTCTCCTGAAGTGAAAACTTCCTGGCTGGCTGGCTGGCCGCGTCGAGTGGAAGGGAGCCCTGGAGGAGGAGGAGGAGGAGGAGGAGGAAGAAAATGGGGGGAAAGGCACCGGGGAAAAGAGGAAGGAAAGAGCCTCCTGGTACACGTATATTGTGTGTGTGTCAATACACACACAGATACACACAGTAGACTACCTCTCTTCCTTGCCTGGCATCACAAACACATATACACACACACATATAAATTCATACACACTCAGGTGCCTACTTTCCTTCCTTGCCTGACATCATACCCACACACACACACACACACACACACACACACTCAAAACTCTTCCTTCTTTGCCTAACACTACACACACACACGTACACAATCAAGTCTACTTTCCTTCCTTGTCCCTCTCTACACAAACACACACATTCAGCTGCCTACTTTCCTTCCTTGCCTGACATCATACACCTACACACACACACACTCAAAACCTTTCCTTACCTAACACTACAGACACATATATACACATGGTACACAATCAAGTCTACTTTCTTTCCTTGCCTCACACTACACAAACACACACTCAGCTGCCTACTTTCCTTCCTTGCCTGACATCATACACATACACACACACTCAAAACCCTTCCTTACCTAACACTACACACACATATATACACATGGTACACAATCAAAAGTCTACTTTCCTTCCTTGCCTCACACTACACAAACACACATTAGGCAGCCTACCCTCTTTCCTTGCCTGACACTACATACACACACACACTCGGCAGTCTACTTTCCTTCCTTTCCTCACACTATAGACACACATATATACACAGATGCACACTCATAAGCCTATCTTCCTTCCTTCCCTGACACTACACACACTCTCAACACCCTACTTTCCTTCTTTACCCCACACTACACACAAATAATATATACACACAAACACACACTCAGCACCCTACTTTCTTTGCTTGACACTACACAACAGCATATATATATACACACACACCACACTCCCCTCCTTCCTTGCCTCACTACACACAAACACACACATATAAACACATACACACTCAAAACCCTCCTTCCTTCCCTCACGCATATATAACACATACATACACACTCTCAGCACACCACCTTCTTCTTTGCCTGACACTACACACGCACCACATAGAGCTGCCTCCTTCCCTTCTTTGCCTGACACTACACACACACATATGCAACACATACATACACACACTTAGCACCCATCCTTCTTGCCTCACTCTACACATATACAATACATACATACACACTCTCAGCACCCTACCTACTTCTTTGCCTCACACTACACACACACAACACATAAATACACATTATCAGCACCCTACCTTCTTCTTTGCCTAACACTACACACACATATATGCACAACACATACACACTCTCAGCACCCTACCTTCTTCTTTGCCTACTACACACACACACACACATATATATATACAACACATACATACACACTCTCAGCACCCTACCTTCTTTGCCTAACACTACACATATATACAACACATACATACACACTCAGCACCCTACCTTCTTCTTTGCCTAACACTACACACACACACACATATATACACAACACATACACACTCTCAGCACCCTACCTTCTTTGCCTAACACTACACATA